TTTTGCAAGATCTTACATGAAAATCAACTGAAACAAAGTTAGGAGATCTGTTTCATTTAGTCCTGCCAACTTCTGCTCAGTGGAGACCCTAACCTATGTGATTCAAGGAATGAAACCCTGTATTTCATATTCAAGAGGTACTTTTAAACCTATTGCAATTTCTGGGAAGCCAAAATTGCAACTATGATTTTCCATTGATACCAATACTCCTGTCCCATACTGAGACACCAGGACATAGATTAATCCAGTTCTTTAATAACCAGCTGGAGTATGCATACTTACAATCAGGCTAAAATGTTAATTCTACAACTCAGATACATTTCTATTAAACTTCCCCCTCACCAGGCATCACCTCATAATCAGACAAATAAAGCATAAATGCTCTGAATTAGGCTTTGCACACTTGGAATCCCAGTTTAAGGTTCTGTTTCACCCACGCATTTGCTTTTTCCCCAACATCAGAGAAACTGGTAGGCACCCTTCGCACTGCATCTTGGACTCCCCAGCACACACTGAAAATTGTCAAAGCAAAACCAAGTTGCACTGTAAAGATGGCTCTGAAAAACTCTCAATATGCCACACTTGGAGAGTGAAGAGAGCGACAAAACGTGCCGACAGCTACATTCGTGCCGTAAGCAACACGAATACGCACGCACGCACACACACACACCTGCTCAAAGGAACATCGGAACCTCCGATCCCTCTGCACGCTGGATTCAACCGTTTTGTGGACAGAAAAGTAACTCAGCCAAGCTCTTCTCCCTGCCCATCGCTCTCGTGGGAGCGGGGGAAGATCGTCGTCCGGAGGGTTACGGGGGAATCCAGTCAAGCGACAGAAGCGCCGAGTTTCCCCAGCCCTTCTCGCGGACCCTCCTTCGCCCCTTCTCCATCGGCTTGCGAGGAAGACATTTATTAAGCGAGGGCCCCCGAGATTTGTCTAGAGTGCATCTCGCCGCCCTCCCCCGCCGCACACCCCCCGTCCCCCACTGTGCCGGCCGAGCCAATTCCATCCCCCGCTGGACTGAGCGTGACTCTCGCCGGCGAAGAAGCCCCGCTCGCCCACTCTGGCCCGCTCCTCTTCAGCGGCGAGTTGAACTTACCACATGCAGTTCCTCCTGAGAACTAAAGCATCAGGGTCTGCTGCCGCTGCACGCTCCTAATCTTCCACTCGCTCCATATGTCACTCTCCTCACCCGAGGGGGGCTGACGGTGGGACAGAGGAGGTGGAATAGGGTGGGGGGCGGGGAGGCGAATGCCGCTCAGGGAGGATTTAAGCCTCCGCTTTCCTGTGGCTGCGGCGATCACGAAGCATTATACAATGGTGGTGGTGGTGGAGGAGGAGGAGGAGGAGGAGGAGGGAGGGAGGGAGCGAGCAGGCGAGCGCTGGAAGAGCAGCAGCCTGCGCTCCCAGCACTTGCCAGGCGGAGAGAGTGACGCGAGGAAGGGCTTCTGCAAGCTCCTTGCCCTTTGGCTCACGTTGGAAGCCCCGCCTATGTCCCTAGGCAGGGAGGCAGGCAGGCGCTCCGTCTCCCTCCTCCTTTCTCTGCTGCTGCTGCTGCCGCCGCCGCCTGCTCTCCACTCCCCTCCGCCCCACCTCCCTCAGAAGGCCTGGGAGGCAAGCGACACATGCCCCCTCGCTGGGCCAGCTAAGGAGGGCGGGGCGTAGGGCTCGGTTCTCCCTTACATGTGCCTTTGTCCCAAGAGATCAGCTATGCTAATACGAATCTGCTGCCTGCTGCAGAAGACAACACGAGCGCGCGCTCACTTCCTCCCCCCCCCCGCACACGCCGGGGAGAGAGAGGGTGACAGCAGGCGCAGGCAACATCGCCATCAGCCCCCCCCACCTTCGACTCGGATGCGAGAGGGGCTTGGGAAGAGCGGACCAATTTATTATCAATCAATCAATCAATCAATCAATCAGTAAAGGTGATGGATGGGCACCCAAGGGAAAGCAATACCTTCGAAATGGAAGGGCAATATGCTGGTTCCAGCCCCCATCTTGCACGCCCTGGGATGCAGACCTGCCTCAATCCCACCGCCGCGCCGGTGAGCCGTAATGACTTATTCGTGATGCTGGGGGCTGCCCTCTGCACATGCCCAGTGGCACAGTTATGGCTCATGTCGTACACCTTCCGGGTACGTACTCTAATTCTGGAAACCATCCGGAAGGCCGGAATGAGCTTCCCTGGACTCTACACGTATTGGCTGTATTGTGGCCGGCTCGAGAGAGAATGAGCTGAGAATGTTGCTGGCCACGAGTTGGATGTTCCGGACCGAGGCTGGTTTTAGGTTGAGACCAGCCCAAACCCGACTAAGCTTGCTCCGATCTAGCGGAGCTGCAGAGGAAGCAACCTGGACCCAGCCTTTCAGCCCCCAGCACACGCCGCCTACATCACGCAGGCGACTCTTCAAAAACAGAAGGCGGCAACGCAGCCAAGCAACTCTCAGCCAAGCCGAAAAGTCAGGCAGCCCCCAAAAGGCAGGGAGACGCCGCTGTACATCGACGCGCCACTTCGGTCTCGCAGAACTGGCGCGGCTCTCGGGGAAGAAACGCAGCCCAAGTGGAGCTCCTGCGCGGACGCGCTGACGCTGAGCCTCCCCCCGTCCCCCCGCAGCCGCGAGGCTGCAGCCTGAAGCCAACCGCAACTATGATAAGCACGCGAGCTATTCAACAACTTGAAATTAGTCAACAAGTCAGACTGGAGCAGGACTGCGAGTTCCTGAAAGGAGCAGCAACAGCAGGCGGGCTCCGCAGAAGGGACAACAGCTGGGCTCCCCTCGCGAGCCAGAGCCGCGGTCGAGAGGAGGAGGCGGGGAGTGGAGAGCGGGGCTTCGCTCCCGGGCGGGGAGGCCTCCCTCCCTGGCATGTGTGCAACGAGGGGGAGGGGAGCCTAGTTTTGTCGCTCAACTTGTGCCGGACTTTTTCCTCGCTCTTCGCAGGAGATCCTTGTTCTCTCTCTCTCTCTCTCCCCCACCCTCCTCAAACGTAGGTGAGCAAGGCGAAAGCTCCGTCCTAATCAAGCATTGCATAACTCTTAAGAGGCAGCCGGAAGAAAGCGAAACGCCCGGGCGCGGCACGACGGTGCGAGCGAGAAATGAAAGCTGGGCTTCCCTGGCGCACGAAGGCTGGGCGACCAGAGTCGGCGTAGATCGAGCGGATTCTTGGGCTGGGAGGGGGGAAGAGCCGCAAGAGATGCACTCCCAGGGCCTGGGATCAGCAAGCGGCACCAGCCAGCCAGCCAGCCGAACTATCCGGCCTCGGATCAAGCCCGCGGACTACCCTGAACGTTTTTGTTCCATGGATTCCGTTCCTATGACATACTCAAACCGGGCGCCAAAGACAGCGACGATAAAATGCCCCCCCCACCCCCCGAATTCAAATTCTGTAATCAGAATAAATGAGCAAAAAAACGAGTTGTAGAGCAGCGAGTCAAGGAATGACCACGCGATGCATTTAGCAGTAGTAGCAGTAATAGAATGCTAATAGCCATCTTCAGATAAGGTATCCCTCCAGTAAAGAAGAACTTCGGGTGACTTCCCAGATACCGCCATGAGTTGTTCTTGACAGCACTATGGACCTGGATTCCACTGCCTTCCTCCGGGATGTTTTTCAAGTTCCCGGTCTAAGGGACAGGTCAGGGAATCTCCCATCCCACTACTAACCAGGCATGATTCTGCTTAGCTTCCAAGCCAGACAAGATCATCTAGGTCGTGGGACACAATAATCATTTTAGTTAAGTGAAAGGGACTAGAAGAAACTAGGTAAACTTTGTCTTCTTTCTTCCTCCTGGACATTATATCAGACATAGTTTTCTCTCCCCATCCCCAAACCTATCATTTCTGTAAAGGCACACTTAGGTCACAGAGATAAGGTCAATACATACAAGAACATTTGAAGGAAAGCTATTGTAACACTATCAATACTTTAAAAATAAAACTTATTTCAAACTATTCTAAAACTTATACACACATTCAAATATTGGCTGCCACTTCAAAATCGTATCAAATAATTTTAGCCTTTAATTGTTCACTAAGTGCATTGGGACAATAAAGCTTTAGGACTTACCACCATAATATTGATTATTAGTCATTATTATCAAGGCAGGATTTGGCATTACAATGTTCTGTTATGATTTTTAATCAACACACTGATTATCTTCCTGCAATCAAATCACATTTTAGTAGTATAGAAGGCATATCTGAAAAGTGAAATTCAACTGGAAGTGCAATCTTTAATGCCCCATGAAATAAAAGCCTTTTGAATTCAGGACTAAGCAACAGAAACCATGCACCTTTTTTTAGATGACCAACATGGTTGTGAGAATGGTGACTTTATCCAATATGTTCTAAAGAACTAGCATCCTACTGTAATCATGAAGAAATTTAGTCATAATGTTTTAATTATTTAGATCCCCATAGTTTTACAACCTAATATTTTCTTTGGAGTAAAGTTTATTTCTATACTTCTGTCTAAATCAAATAAATTAAATTATTTTTAAATGTAAATAAGTTTAATAAAGCATACTTCCAAGTATGAGTCCCAAGTATTACTATAGCCCACAATTGCAATTCTTAACATTCTCCTTCTCCTTAGAAAAAACAGGTCTCATCTTGATTTTTAGTTAATCTGAAGTTAGTTTCTATACATCAAAACTGACTATTCAGAAGAATGAATGCGTTTCCAGGAATTGTGCAGTTTATTCTTAGTATTGAGAATTACAGTTTACTTTTTGGGGGGGGGGGGAATTTGGGGTTTCTTAACACAATGTGATCTTTTGGAGAGAGTAAGCAGATAGTAAGCAGTAGCAATTCTAACCGAATTTAAGCAAACATGTGAACTGTAAGTTCCTTTAAAACATACAGACACACAAATAGACATACACACAAATGTTCAGTCTGCATCACCAAATTTAGAAATAAATCCACCGCCAGAAACCAATGTGAGAATGTCAGATGTAGACTAAACTCCCACTCCCATTCAGCTCCATTACATGTAAGTGCAAGGCCAGTTACAGTGAACACCACAAGCATTCCTTATACATGCATGCATTTCTTTCTCTTAAAAAAAGTATTACTGTTCATAACACTTATTATAATAAAAACATGAATGAATATTCCATGGAGGTGTTTGAACAATGGCCAACTGTTTGGGGATGCTGTAGTAGTGGATTCCTGCACTGGGGCAGTAAGCTGGGCTAGATGACTTCAAAGATACCTTCCAATCCTTACATTCTATGATTGTATGTATTCATCTAGGATTTACAGCTTCATCAAATAGTTCACCTAAGTTCTTTTCATTCACCTTCCTCTCCAAGACACAAAAAGTAGTTGTAAAAAATGTCCTGAAGCCAGATCTACAATCCTGTTCCAGTGATGTCCCTGTACCCTATTCTGCACTCAAGCACATCTGCAGTTTTTTTGCCAATGATTGGTTGTAAATAACAGTAACAACAGCAACAGCTAGGCAGAAGGCAAATGGTGGGTAACCAAGAGGCCATACAATTCCCACATATTAAGGCTGTGCAAAACCCTTTACATCCTAAGCCATTTTAAAATAGTTGTTCTGAGTTTGAAATGGATGATTCTGACCATTCTGGCTTACAACCTTACCAAGGGAAGCAATTCTGCAACCATTTAGTAGCCAACAAGGCAATATTCTCAGATGATAAAAAGCATGTTATAACCTACAAGTCATCATAGATTTAATCTCCTGGAATTCTGCTCAGAGGTCAAGAAACTCACAGCAAACTGGTAAATGAACGCCCTCTCTGAAAACAGTTCTGTTATCTCTATGTTCTCAAGCTCACGTTTAGATGACAACCATACCTAGGAGTCTAAAGTTCTCTCCAATTTGTACTGCAATTTCCATAATACCTGACCACTGACAAGTTGATTGGTCATCTGGAAGGCACTTGGTTATTTTCCAAGCAGAAAGAATAAGAAAATGACAACTATAACCAGGAGGTATGGTGGGAAGTGGCCTGAAGGCAGATGTTCTCTGTAGGGGCTCTCTTCCAATGGAACAGTTAACCCCCCACCCCACAAGTGAGGACAGCCCCCACTCTCATGGCCTCCTGGAAAGTTGTGAAGACATTGCTTCTTTGTTGGACCTTTTGGGACTGCTTCTGGAGCCATCAAGTAAATATTAGTTTTTATATTGCAGTAATAATATCATTGCTGTATTTTATTGTACAACGTAAACTGCCTAGAATCTGGTTGGACTGAGGTAGTTTATATATTTCATACTGCAATATTAAGGCTTTAGCAAAATTCTTCAGTACAGGGTCTCAAAGTTTACAATTCAACTAAATAAATTGCATAGGCAAATTTACAACTTTTTAAATATTATAGTGGAAAGTTGAAATGTTGTCAGAGGGTTTCAGCCCCTGTCATCACAAAGAACCAGAGCATTTATCAGAAAACAGCTGGGGGCACTGGAATTCAGGATGATATAT